GCCGCCCCGCCCGGCGCGCCACGGGAGCCCTCCCCGGGGCGGAGAGCCCGCCCGCCTGCCTGCCCCGCCCGACCGCCCGGCCGAGCTCCCGCCGCCTGGCCGTGGGGCAACTTCGCGGCGGAGCATCACCGAAACGGGGCCTCTTCACCACCGGGCGGGCCGGTCCCGCTCGGTCCTCTGCCCTCTTCCTTCGCGCCGCTCTTCAACCCTTCAGGGATGGCAGTTGACAGCGCCTCCGGCACCTCTGTTCCTGTCCTCCCTGATCCAGCTGCTTTTACTTTTAACTCCGAGGGAGGGCTCAGTTTGATTGATTAAATGCTTAAGGGCCTGGGAAACCTGAGTACTCTGTGGTCACTCTTAACAACAAACTGTTAAGGAGGGGTGTGTGGATTTGGGGGTTCCCTTTGGTTACAGGGCCGGTGTGGTTTGGGGTACCAGGTGATAAGAATAAATCTATGCCAACCACTTTTCATTTGGGAGCCTTATAACTTCACACCCTCTCGTCTCACACTGTAAACCCTGAGCTGTCTCAGGCAAGTCAAACTCTTTGTGAAGCTGGAATCCAGAGGAGAGCTGTGTTGGGTTTGGTTCTGAGTTCATGCTAAATAGTGTTGGATCTCCATCACGCCCACAGGAGCACAGCTGGGAGCACAACGCCTTAGTGGACATACCACTGAGGCACCTGAAGCAACTGCTGTTTTCACCAGCCTTCCCAGGAGATTTTGATATAAAAGGATCAATTATTCCTCAGTCACTTTGCGAGACACTAATTTCAAAGGCTTTTCCAAGAATATCGGTCCTTCGGACCCATCTTACAAAGATACTGAAGTTGACTCCATTTTTAAATTGAATTTATAACATTGCAATGCACATCATTCTACTGGTCATATTTTATTCTATTTTACTTTAGTTTTAAAAGCTATTTATTCATTTATTTATTTAGATTATGTGCACATATGAAAACAACTTTGTCAGAGTCAGTTCTCTCCTTTTAGAAGCTTATGTAGCAATATTATTGACTGAAGCTTATCTTTTTTTCTTTCTTTCTTTCTTTTTCCCTGCAGTCAGGTAAGTAGGACATCATCAGTTATCGCCTCGGATGGCACTTCCTATGACTAGTTTCATTAGCACAGAAGCTTATGATCTTTAAGTTATACTTGTTAAAAGAACTTTACTTTTTCTTTTTTCTTTTTTTTTGAGACAGGGTCTTTTATAGTCCAGGCTGGCCTAGAATTCTGTGTGTATTTGAATTTATCCTCCTGTCTTTGCCTCCTGAGTGCTGGGATTTATAGGCATTTGTGACTATGATGGGTCAACTAAGCTACACATCTACCACTATATTGTTATTTTAAAACACAGAAGGCCATTCAGAAGTAAGTTCACTATTCACCCTACAGGGATAGTGACCTTATCTCACATAACTGTCTTTGTACTCCTTTAGACTATATAAGCAGGTCAGTGTCCACACCCATAGCAATCACCGGGGAAGGACCTGTTTCTCTGGAGTCCACAGAAAGCATTAGTCCTTTTTTTTTTTTTTTTTTTTTTGGAAGATTTAAAAAATATATTTATTGGCCATTTATATTTCTTTTGAAAAATGTTCAAGTGTTTAAACGTTTGTTTATTTGATTGTAACAGGGTTGTGCTGTGTAACCCAGGCTGGCCTCAAGCTTGCAGTGCAGTCCAGGTTAACCTTAAACTCAGGGCCCTCCTGTCTCAACCTCGCCACTGCTGGGTTTGCAGGCATTTGCCACCATACTTATCCAAGTTATTTCTTGGATTATGTATTCTTTTGCTGTTAACTTTTTGAGTTCTTTATATTTCTGGATATTAATCCTCTATCACATGAAAATCTTTAAGGATTTTCTCCCATTCTGCAGGTTGACAGTTTATCCTGTTGATTGTTTCCTTTGTTGTACAGAAGTTGTTTAATTTGATACAGTCACCATTATCAATTCTTGCTTTTATTCCTTGACCTATTAGAGTCCTATTCAGGAAATCTTTGCCTGGACCAATAATTTGAAGTGCTTCCCCTCTGTCTTGTACTTTCTTTTAACTTAAAAAAAGCTTCATTGAGAATTTTATACATGCATATAAGGTGTTTTGATTAAACCCACACCCACTCCCTCCCCTCCAACACCTGCCATATCTACCCATCACTTTTTTCTGACAACTTCGTGTACTCTTTCAGAAAGCATTAGTCTTAGGGACTGTGTTAAAACAATAATAAAAAAAGGTTATCTTAAGAGGTTAATGCAATATTAATGGATTAAATTATAAATACCAAGCACAGAAACACATCATCCCTGTTCAAAAATGTTCATTTTCCTGTGAGCAAATGTTACCAGAGCAGTGACCCTCCATCTGCCTTATCTGTCCACAGCTGTAGAGAGAGGATGGCTGGCAGAGTGCCAGGTGTGTGGAGCTTTAAAGAGAGCACAGCTGCCACATTCCCCTTTCCATGCACATAGGAGGTGTGACTTTGGGTGACCAAAGCCAATGCACCCTGTTAACCACATGTCAGGCTGTACCACATGGTGCAGAAGTGGTGAGGAAGACCCCTGCACTGGAGGGCCTGCCCAGGCCCATGTTACATTTTAGCTTTTTCCGCCTTTGACATAAATTCCAGGATTTGTAAGGTTGCTAACTGAAAGCAACAAACCCAGGTCTCAGCACTGTCAGCACTGCATGGGGCTATTCTCACCAGTCTTCCCAGGATGATTAGTATAAATTTTAAAAATAAATATAATTTAAACAAAAATGGGGAAAAGACAAATGTTCTTCTATGTAGAAAAGGGCAACTGTTTAAAAGAAATCTTTTATTTATTCTCTGATAATTTCATACATGTAATGTCTATTGGGCATATCCATTCCCAACTCCCTGTTTCCACTCCCCCAGGAATGCCAACGTGTCCCACTCCTCTCTTCATGACCTCCCCTTTTATTGGTAACCCACCAAGTCCAATTAGGGCTACGGTTTTTGGTCTCTGTTTAGCATGTTCTAGAAAAGTGACACCTTTAAAAAGAAGGCTATATGGTGACGTGACAGTTTAAAAACCAATGAAACACCTTTAGTTTTCCTACATAGTCTTATCTTTGTCTCATAGTCAGAGAAGTATATTAGTAAAACAGTTCTAATTGGACCAAATGCAGAGTGTATGTATGGTGTTTCTTTTTCAGTTTCGGTTCTTTTAATTTTCTGGCTAAGATACTAAGTTGTTTCCACAATCCATTGTGACTTACCATCTTAGTGTGATGTTCTCCAGAAGTCAAAGTTGCCCCTAAAACAAGAATTCCAGTGTAAGTAGTTTACATTCAAGGTCACATAAGGCCCTATGTGGATGGGACAGGTAGGAGGTGGGCAGGAAGGAAAGATGGCCTTAAAGATGCTTATCTTGGTTGGCCAGTCTCTACTGTGTGTGTGTATGTGTGTGTGTGTGTGTGTGTGTGTGTGTGTGTGTGTGTGTGCGTGTTTCTCTGGTGGGGGATTGTAAGAGCAGCTGCAGGGCTGTGGGGCTGTCCTCCAGAGAGTGAAAAAGCCCTGCATCAGAGCGAGCCCCAAGAATACAAGCATGTGGGACAGTGCATTCCCTTTGGGGGCCCTCACTGCTCAGCCAGCGGAAATAGCAATCAGTGTCCTTTGTGAAGGAGGACCTAGTCTGTAGTAGTGCCAATCAAGGTGGCAGTGCCAAACATGGTGGAAGACTTGACAATAGAGACATGACCCAGAGAAAGGAGAAAAGGAAGGAAACAGGACCCTTGAGACATTTAATAATGTCCTTCCAAGTAAGCTGTTGTGCTCAGCTTCAGTTTTAGAGAAATCAAGAGCCTGGTTGTAGATGTGGGATTATGTCCTGTGCGAAGAGACGAGTTTACCTCTTCCTGTTTAGTCTGGTGCCTTTTATTTTGCTTTTTTGGATAACTTCCCTGGTCAGTGCCTGCAGCTTACGTCAACTAGACATGGGGAGAGTAGACATCCTTGGCTTGGTCTCAGCCTTAGAGGGAATGTTTTAGCCTTTCTCGACTGAGAATGACATCAGCTGCAGGTTTTTCACATGTGGTCTTATCAGGTTGATGGAGTTCATTTCAATTTCCAGTTTGGTGAACAGTTTTAGGAAGTAGTGTTGGATTTTGTTAGATGCCCTTTCTTGGTCTACTGAGATGGTAATTAAGGATGCATTTATTCTCTTAATATGGTATAGTCTATTAGTTTATACTTTTATTTTTGAATGTTGAAACCCAACTTACATTCCTGGAGTAAATCCTACTTAGTCATAGTGTATAACCCTTTTTATGTGTTTCTGGACTCAATTTGTTAATATTTGTCTTAGTTACTTTCTATTGCTGTGATTAAAGCGCTGACCAAAACCTACTTGAGGAGGAAAATTTGGCTTAACAACTTTCAGTACATCATCAAGGGAAGCAAGACAGGAACTCAGGGAAGGAACCTGGAGTATAGACAATGGAGGCACGATGCTTACAGGCTTGCTCCCCTGGCCTGGCCTCAGACTGCTTTCTTCCTTTTTTTTTTTTTTTTTTAAATTAAAAAATTTTATTGAGGCCAGGCGTGGTCGCGCACGCCTTTAGTCCCAGCACTCGGGGGCAGAGGCAGGTAGATCTCTGTGAGTTGAAGGCCAGCTTGGTCTACATAGTGAGTTCCTGGATAGCTGGGTCTACAGGGAGACCCTGTCTCAAAAAGATCCCCCCAAAATTTATTGAGAATTCCATACATGCACATATGGTGTTTTGATCAAATCCATGTCCACTCCCTCCCCTCCAACTCTTCCCATATCTCCCCATCACTTTTTCCTGACAACTTTGTGTACTCTTTCTTCCTTCCTTCCTTCCTTTTTAATGGGGCTTTTTAAATCTATTATAACATTCCCCCCTCTCTGAAGAGAACCCTAAAATCTTTTAGGGATTAGATAAGAGCTCCCAAATACTTTTGACATTTTTGGCCTTTGGAACACAGTATGTTGGTAAGAGGCTCAAGGACATTTTGACTTTTAGCCGAGAAACTGGTTACTTTTCTTTGGGGTCTTTTTACCCTAACTGCATAGCCAATTCCTATCTCTTATTCTTATCACACCTCTGAAGAGGTTATCCAAATTGCTGATGGGGAATTGGGACACAGACTGCTCTGGCTTCTTCCATGCTAAACAGGGGTATAGGGTGAGGTAACTTGGGTACCCCTTCAGTGGGTCTATCTAAAAGACTCCCAAATTGCATAACTCTTAACTATAGGGAGAAAAGAAAGTCCTTGACTAGTGCCTAGGCAGCCTGCTTTCTTATACAACACAGTACCACCTGCCCAGGGGTGGCACTACCCATAGTGGGCTGGCCTCTCCCACATCACTTACAATCAAGAAAGTGCCTCACAGACTTGTCCATAGGCTAATTCAATGGAGGAAATTCCTTGAGGTTCCCTCCACCCATTTGTGTCAAGTTGATAACTGGAGCTATCTAGAACAATATTTTTAAAATTATTTATTTTTATTTTATGTGTATCCCCTGAAAGTGGAGTTACAGACAACTGCCATATGGGTGATGGGAATGACCCAGGACCTCTGCAAGAACAGCCAGTACTCTTAAGCCTTCTCTCCAGTACCGATTTGTTAATATTGTGTTGGTTATTCTTGCATCAATATCCATAGGAGATAATGGTTTCTAGTTTCCTTGTTACAGAATAATCAAAGAGTTTTTCTACTAAGGCAATAGTGATATCATACAACGAGTTAGGAGTGTTCCTACCTCTTCTATGTTTTGGGGAAATTTCTAAATAATATTCATTCTCTTAATCTTTGACATCTAGTGAATCCATATGGGCTTTCACTTTTCTTCTTGGGAAGTTTTTAAATTCTTAATTCAATCTCTTTGCTTAAGATAAGCCTGTATTAGTTTGGTAGGGTTGCTATAACAAAGCCATTCCTGATGGTTTAAACAGGAAATTTTTTTCCCCTGCATTTGGAAATAGATTTTTTAACGCTCATGAGACCATTAAGCCCCAATCCAATATGCTTCATTGGAAACTACTGAAGAAAAAGGAGGAAATTCCAGTGAGGATACAGTGAAAATGTGGCCATCTGAAGAGCAAGGACAGAGGCCTTGGTGAACCAAACCTGTTTCACTATG